ACACTGCCAGAAGGAACTTGTTTAAATAATGGCTCTGGATGATTGTCTCCAACAGCACTTGGAGTCGATTGTGTCACAAATGTAGTAGGGTTCTGAGAAACTATAGCTGACGGGACAGAGCATTGAACTTTACGAGTCACAGTCGAATTCATCGATATAGATGTCGAGGAGTCATCAACCAACGGAGACGATCCAGTGACAATTGCAGCGTTGTCGAGGCCCGAATGTTCTACTATTCGACCCTGAGTCTTAAGACCCTGTCGTTGTTGTAGATTTCTCAGAGCTTCTTGTTGAAATCGTTCCAACTCTGTCTTGCTTGCTCTCTGTCCTTGTTATTAAGTTGAGTATCATCTGTATTATCCATTTCTTATAGAATCAGCGATCCGTCATCCATTTGAAGGCAGGATGTCCCTCTAAAAATCTCTCCATCAGCATTCTGAACCATTTGCGATTGGACAAAGCACTCGAAACTTGATTCATGAATCAACAAGGGTTCACCTTCAGGTCTCTGAGGCCCTGCATCCTCTCTTGGCGGTTCAGGTATTCGGATACTGACTATATCTGAGATGAATAAAACAATGCAATTATTTTATTTGTACATGTAAAACTGATTTAGAGACTGAGCTTGCTATGTTCACCTGCGTTATTAATGATCTTTTGTCGGACTTGGGATTTGTTCTTGTTCTTACCCATGGTGTGAGAAATAATTTGGAGACTCTTGGTGGACCTCTTTACTATTTTTCCTTCTTATTGTCGAGAGAACTGTGGGCAGAGATCTATTTGTGCTGTTATTGATCCCGCCTACGCAGAATCACATCATTACCTACTTTAATTGAAATTTCAATTGAATATGAAAATTCAATATATCAATTGTGAAGTGATGTCAAGAAATGAGGCTAAAAATTTAAGTTCGCATTATTTCGAGCTATACTCTAGAAACTAATAAGTTTGAGTCAAAATGTCAATGACTTTCTACGTGACTAGAAGCTCACTCGGAGCTCATCGCCCTGAAGATGCAGACTGCAATGTTTGCGAAACGTCGGCGCAACGCTGAATCCAAACGCGGCATCCATCCGGAAGCCAAAGATTTCATTAGCATAAGCATTCCTAGTTATACACTGCTCTGGATCACAGAGGATGCGAATAGCACAATGGAGAGCCATGAAATTGACATACATATTCCGAGGTAATACGAAGCGTAGAAAGACTGGACCAATATAAAGGAGAAATAATCGACATTCTGTTGCTTTCCAACTCGAGTAATCACCAAGATTTCTCGGTTTCCGCGAAAATTCCCTTGGTGTTGCAGATGCCAAGTTAACGTATAGGTCATTGATATAATTGAATCCTCCCGGTTGCGTTAACCAATATGTCATATATATACCAAGGAGTCTTTTTACCACACCTAGCAATACTAAATGCATGTAATCTAGTGGTAGCTGTTTAATCATATCAAAACCATGACGTTCGAGAGGTGAAAAAGTATGTAAAAACGTAGTAGGTAAATCCTTCCTAAAGTTCTCATCAGTTCTTAGTTCAGAGTCAAGATGGAGGAATAATCGATAATTCATGACAGGTTGGATACATTTTCCACATCGGCTATTATGTGCTGGAAAGCAACTGATAAAATTTCGTGCAGGTGTATCCGCCAGAAAAGCCCTGATTCTGAGAAAATGTCGACGATTGTTGAACAGCAATCCTTCTGTTTTTAATCGCATGTATTCTACCATGAACATACTCAAGTACTCATCGGCGGAAGGTGGTTTACCGGTGTCATGATAGGCAGCAATAAAAAATGGCTCAACCACTGATGGGTTCACTAAGTTTCCTAGAATCGGCCAAAGCTCGCTTTCACTACTATTTGAAATATTTAATCCATCTACATTGACGTCAATATAAATAATCGTAGGTACAGTTGAAGGCTCGAGAAAGATTAATTTTTCTGCTAAACTCCTTTCAAGACCATAGTAAACGAATTTACCCATACCCATACGAAATACGACGTTTGATGTTGGGGTGCCAAGAAGTGTTTTCGCTGACAGTGGTAAACTAGTGTTACCACTTTGGTGTAAGCCATGCAACAACTCTGTTACATCATGAGGAATTTTACGTCTCAAGGACCAGTTCCGTAGAAATTCTCTCAAGTTACATTCACGATTCAATATATTCAAATTAAGATTCAAGGAATCCACGTGATTAACGAATTCTTGAGGCTCCATAGGTGGAGTCATGTTTTGATTGAGTCGAATTTCATCACCACCATTAATTTGATCAGCATCCTCGCTAGGAAACAATGAATCTACGAAGTTGATAATTTGGATATGCTCGGGGGATGAAACAGATGAAATGATACTTTGGTTGAAGAGATTTCCATCATCATTGCAGTTTTCATTGAGATGGTCGTTAGGAATGAGGTTATTCTCGATACCCACAGTTCTATTGTTCTGAATAGAATCTTTTCTTGACTGAATGTCGTGTAAATTCAAACTGATCAACGTTGAATGGAAACTATTTGCTATGCGCCTTCTTTGTTGGCGACGTGATAAACACGAGAATGCTTTACGCGGAGGACGTTGCTTTGTACCAAAAATTCATTATTTCCAATGGAAATTTCTCAATGCCCATATGAATACCCGCGACTCCTTATAATTATGTCTAAATTCACCAAGATAGTGCTGGTTAGAAAGACATTACCTGAACTGCGTTGTGTTTGTTTACCTCACTGATTGGCAGCCTGTTGCATCGCCTCTGATACCAAAGAATGACTGTTAAGAAATCGAGAAAATTATTGAAACTCATAGAATTCATGGAGGACAAATATACATACCTTCATATAATGATCAATATCGTAATGAGTATCACAAAATATTTATTAATTAACTCCTTATTCACGCACTGACTGTTTGAGGTGACGTCCATGATGTTCGACAACGGAATGACGTGTTCTACTCGGTCTCGCCAAAACAGCCAGCCGGGAACTCGCATTATTCCACCCAGACTCTGCGAGTTGTCTGTTAGCATGCCGAAAAGCCAACCTCTGGCATCCAGTAGTTGACTTTAAAAGAATGTCTTGTAGAGATCTTTATTCTTACTCAAAAGTGCTCAAAAATATCTTCACACTTAGACAACCGTTAATCAACCTTTTGCTATCCGAAAGACTGAATAAAATATGTGGGTCGGTCGTCTCACGTAAGTCTATACGGACTCTGCGAGTTGTCTGTTACTATGACTTTTGGGTATACTAACAGACAACTCGCAGAGTCTGTATGGACTCACGTGAGACGACCAACATATTTTATGCAGTCTTTCGGATAGTAAAAGGTTGACTACCGGTTGTCTAAGGGTGAAGATATTTTTTAGCGTTTTTGAGTAAGAATGAAGATCTTTACAGGCTATTAAAAAGTCAACTTATACTGTCCACATAGAAAATTTGAGAGTGACTGAAATGATGACACCGTCTAAATATCGTGTAGATATCCAATGTCCCCTTTCCGTAAATATTTAGACAGCATCGGTTAAAGTCATCTGGACCTCACCTTTTAGGTAATTTTAATCGATTTTTGTCTTAATAGTTACGGAAAAGGGACATTGGACATCTATATGATATCTATACAGTGTAATTTCAAAAGCGCTCAAAAATATCTCCGCATTCGTACAACCGTTAATCAATCTTTTTGTATCGAAAAGATTGAATAAATTAATTGGAAGATTTGCAGTGCGTCGCATATGAAAAAAAAATACAACGGAAAATCTTAAAATATCCCAAAAAATTCTGTTAGAAATTATATTAGTTTTTTGGTTATTGAATGGAAGAAAAAGTGGGAGCTTTTCTGTCCCTCTTTCTAGATAGGAATATTTAATATAAAATTGTTTATAGAAGAAATCAATCTCGGGCTTTTTTTATACGAATTCTCTATCATAAATTCTCCAGATTTTTCTTTCATATTTTGATTTAAAATGAAAATTAATTGGGCTCCCCCATAAATAAATGATTCATATAGACGGTAGTAATTGATTGTGGCAAAATTAACTTATTCCAAAGAAAATAGGAATAGAATGACTTCTAACAGTTGATCGAGAGAAACGAACACTAGGCAAAGCTATTTAGAGGCAAAATCATTAATTATCCAGTTTGAGTCGCAGTAACGATTATTTATGGACATCCTTGATTCTGTCAATTAACAGACATTAAAGTAACGATATTTAAGTTTGTCAAATAGTTAACCAAGTGGCGATTGCAAACCATCATCTGAAAGAAGCATTCAAAGAGTCAACTCATTCTTGTTGACTTTAGAATGGAATAAATTTAACTCTTCCAGTCAGCTTCTCGCGGATTTCGCTACCACCTACAGAACATTCTTTGCAGATGTCCGCTAAATATCTTCTAGATAGTAACTTGACGGTAACGCAGAGGTGTTGACTTCCTGAAAAATATTTGCAGTCGCAAGTATTCATGTTATCTTTTAGATGCCTTTTCGAAAGAGACATCTAGATAACAGTAAAGCGACACCTTCACGATGTACCGTGGACATTATTTCTATCTGGGAATGGAACGACACTAACATAAAAAATCCAAAACTTAAATTTTAATGATTACAAATTGTCCATTCAGAAGCAAAAAATAAAGCTTTTTCTACGAAAACATCTTCAAAATTGAGAAAGTATGAATGAGTGAAAATGATTTTCATATTTTGCTGCTCGAATTTTTTATAACTAGCGATTCATGAACTATTACTGTATCTAACAAAACAACGAGAATCGGACTCGGAGTAGAGTTGGGAATATGATCAGCATCGTTGATGAATATAACGAATTTATTACCGTCACATGACGGTCATGTGATATCATGCTGTATAAGTTTCGAGCCTCTACGACATACTAGACCAATCAGTTTCACATGAAATTTATGATATTATAATATCTAAACTATAGTTTCGATGGCATTAAGTAATTTGAGGTATGCTTAATTTATATTTGTGACTCTTTTCATTCATTTTCAGACATTTATGCAGCCTCACGCAATGGCAATATCACCAAACGGCACAGAACTCTACGTTACCGAAATTGGACCCAACAGAATGTGGAAATTCCACCTCGTTAGTGATCCATCACGCCAAATAGACCCTCAAACTCTCATGAAAATTTAAACCAATAAAAAAAAACTCATTAAAAAGATAACACCAGAAAATTCAGAAATACCACGACTACAAGTAACACATCTGACGACTCAGGAAAAATATTCATTGCATGTAATTCACAGATGCTAATTCGAACTTAAATTCAGGCTTCCAAAATATATATCAACCATGTACGAAAGTATTCAGTGAATTATTCCATAGATTCTAATCTACGAAACTGAAAAAACAAAAACAAGAATTAAAAAAATTAATGAACAATCACGAATAACAAATGAAATTACATTTTTAATGTCAAGAAAATCTATATAGATGCATTGCTTAATGATTAGGCCCTAATCTGATGTATACGAAATACAAGAGAGAGAAAATAATAGAACTATTCAATGCTAAAATTAATGTAAATCAATACAAACAGTGAAACAAATTCAATGATTCAGACTTGATGCAAGAGAACGTCTCAAACGCCATCAGCAAAACATATCGATGATTAGATCAGAACCGATCAGAGATGAGGGACAGGGTTGCGTCAATTTGATTATTAATGGAAATATCTTGTCCCAATCAAAAAAAAAAAAAATTAAAGGAAAAATGTATACTTCGAATTTCTTAAAAAAATCCAATTCTTCATATAATTTTCTTTGATTTTTTTATGTCTACTTTATCAAAATTGAGGGGTAGAAGAACCTGCAAAGAAGTGATCATTTCCACCTTTGAATATAAAGAGTTAGGATAAGATAAATTGGGATTTCACCGCAAAGTCATACAAAACAAAAAAAACTTGCAGGGAAAATCACAAAACTGAATAGAAGCACCCATAAAAATGAAGATTTCGAAGAAAATTATACACTAAAAGACAGAAAAATCCTAAGTTAATGGGCATTATCAAATCGCTTCTGAAATCACAATTCCGGTTCTTCTGACACAATTTTACAGAATATAAACAGCAAAAGACTGTACTGGTATCGTTGTTTATTGTTCTGTAAACCTCGCAAAAAAGATTATTCTGCTGTTGATTTTTCAACTTATTCTGATATTATTTATTTGAAATTGTAACGAGCGAATACAACGTACACGCACACTTATCGCACACGAGTCAGTCGCGTGGCCACATTTTTTTTCAATCTACATATGTTCAGTATCCAATGATATGAATGGAGGATTGAACAGGATGAAAATTGAAAAAAAGACACGCGCGGGTTAACGCACAGAAGACATAAACGTATATTTTAAATTATTTTTTTAGACATGATTGAAGGCACTAATGAAGCAACACTCAATAATAAATATTTAGGTGTCACTGGTGATCATCAAATTATCCACAAAGAATGGTGCTATGAACGTGTCTAGAATATTAAAATTTTGTTTAATTTATGATAAAAACGCCAACAAAAATTGAACAAAATTCTGATGACATAATAATAATAATTTAGGTAAGCAGTAATGATTAATCAACTATTGACCATCCAATTCAAGGATTAGATTTTCGGTGGATATTAATATGAAAATAATAATAATTAAAGAAATAAACAAAATTTTCAGACAACATTGCCGATAAAAAAAAGTGACGACTGGTACTGAATTTCGAATTGAGTGTCTGAAGTTTCTCATAGGTTCGAATTTGTTGCCAACCCGAAGTTCTAGATCTACTTGGAAGGAATCAAATAACGAAACATCTCGAATAACTTTTTCCTAAAGTTTTGTTTACTTACAGAATATTCAGATCTTCCATTATACAAATTGTGAGTAAAAATGTTGATTCATTTTCGGTTAATAAGGAAACCGAAAAAATGATTATAAATCAAATCATTAATAACATCATATCATATCATTAATCATTTATAATCATTTTTTTGGAATGATTATAAATTTTAGAAGATGAAATATTATCTTTGGGTGAAGATTTGAAAATTAAACCGTTGTTCGACATTACATTCACAGAAGAAAGATTATCAATTGTTAAAGCAAATTATCATTCATTTGCGAAAATAAAAATTTTAATTTAGGGGATTAATTGAAAGTTTTGTGTTACGTGCTTCTGGAGAAACATTAAAATTACAGAAACGAGTGCCTTGGAACGCCTGCGAAAAAAAGTGAAAATTGGTGGAAATTAACAACTTTTTCGATATTCAATATTACAAATGGTTCATTCGACATTTTTCAGAAGCCCGTGATATAAACACAGTTTTTGGAAATTTTTAGGCTCATTTGGAAAACGTGAAGCATTCAAAGCAAAATATGACTAAAAATTGGATTAAATTTCTCATTACAAATGGCAATAATTCAGGAAATATTACAATCATCACTAGAAAGTTCAAAAATTTTTGATGAATTGACAATTATATTGAACGAAACTCAAAACAACTTGAAAACTAATAAATCTAATAAATCAGAGTCTACTAGGTTTCTTAAAAAGGAAACGTACTGAAATTAAAATGGATCCACAATTTTCAAATTCAGACACTAAAATGAACAAAATAAATTATGACCGAATTACTCTCTCAAACAGATAATTAAATTATAGAACAGACAAATTATTTCAGAGAATTCTTCAATTTCAAACGAATCCTTTGATCCGTAGGGAATCGATGATTAATGAGGCATAGTAATTTTCGATGATAAATTAATAGCAAACGCAAAAATATTATAATATAAAAATAAATATAAAAAAATCCTCTGACGCGTTTTGAAAGCAGAAGTACAGAATATTAATGATATTCATGGCATACTCAACTAAACTCTAGTTCACAGTCATAATTGGATTTTTAAAGATTATAATGAGCAAATATTATAGTTAAATTGCTGATTTCGACAAGGAAGTACATGTTTAGACGAAACAAATTATGGAATTTTGCATTCCCAGAAACTTCAACTCCTCAGCCATATACGCTCATCCAAGCGATTTTAATATGAAGTCAAATTAATAAAAATTAATAATTAATAATTAATAAAAATTAATAAAAACCTTCAATTTTGGATGACCGTATATGGCTGAGGAGTTGGAGTTTCTAGGAAAATAATTACGAACGGTTAAATAAATTTACGTGGAATTTTACATTATAAAGTGAAAAAATTATTTCAATAAAAATTCCGCTCAATTTTTGGTCTTCATTGCACTTTGAGCTCAGGTAAATCACTTGAATGTCTGTGGGCAATAATCAGAAGTAATAATGAAAGAACAATAACCCTGGATGACTTTTGAAAAAATCTCTCGTAGTTTTCCGCAAAAACGTACGGGCGCTCAGTTGTACTGAATTTCACATAATTGTATTGCAAAAAAATGAAAGTTGAAAGTTTAGTAAACCCGGGAATTCGAATATAGAATAATATTAAAATTTCATATTTTCAGAAAAACAATGCAAGTTTAGGTGATTGTTTGTGAAATTTCATGTTGAAATTCATGGAATTTTCTGTGATTTTCAATCGCAATGTAAATTTCTAGATATATTCGTGATAAATCATCATATAGAAGTGTCTGAGTATTTGTTATTCACTAACATTTCGGTCGTAATTTAGATGCTCTGCAGACTTGAGACAAATTCAGACCTTTTATTTGAAAATTGTATTGGATACCAGCATCAGTTGTAGTGGGTAAACATTTTCCAAAAAGCAAAAAAAGTTGAAAATTGTATTGAGATTTTTTACATTACTACAAAATAATGGGAATGTATTTGTAAAAAGCGTCGCATACCGTTGGAATTAATGGCATTTGAAGGATTCCTACCAGAAGGAATCTCTGAATTGATTTTCTCCACTTGAATCCGATCTAAATTACTGAAAAATATTATGTTTTCTGCATGATTTGACACTGATAACTTCACAAATCGAACAAATCAACGAAGTGAACAAAACTATTACAAAAATTCAAACCTATCATGTGTCGATTTATATTCGCTATAACACTGTAAAGAATATTTCCTAATTTTGATGCAAGGACATAGCTCGAAAATTTAAAATTTGTTTTTTTTTGTAAACACTCTAAATGCTTAAAAATAAGAAATTTTAAATTACTATTTAATGAAATAAAATTAAAAAAAAATTAATCAGTAATCGAAGAAATTAAAAATGCAAAAATTTTTGTGACAGTGAAATTTTTAACGGAATTTTAGTTATTTCCATCATTGAATCTCAATAATTCTGGTGCATCTAGAAAATAGCTAGGGATCTCCAGGTAATCCACACCGTTGAAAAAAAATTCAAAGTTCATGGACAGTTCAGTAGTAATTTTCACAAGAGCGACATTAAATTCTATTTAGGGAGGAAAAAGTCATGAAATTTGCAATTTGACTGAAATTTCTATGCAAAACCAAAATTTTGAACAGCAGGAAGACGAGAATTTCCTAAAGCACTTCAATTCCAAGAATATATTCATTTGATGATTTAATAAAACTTGCAGTTTCACTTGATTTCTTCATCGAATTGTGAATTTTCATTGACGAAATTCCTTGAAATTTCACTACAGCTGTCATGTGATAACATCACTTGATGACATTTCTGAGAAGTGTATGGAAATTTTAGCCAAGAATTTTTAGCAGTGAGGAGTACGGAAACTTTCCCAAACTGAGTGGTAAATTTTCAGATTAAATTCCTAATTTACATTAGGAATTAAAAATCAATTCACAATTAGCAATTTGAGATTTAGTGAGAAAAATTAATATCAATGCCTTCCAACTTTCTCTAGAAGTTTCTACACGATGGAAATTTTCTACAGTGCAGAATTCGCTTGAGGGCAAAATGAAGCAACATTAGTAACAATAAAAGCAAAACTAACTTCTTCGAACGCTAAATTGGAAACGTTTCAACAATAATTGAAATTTTCATTGAGCTCTCGATTTGGCTTCTTTTGACATCAAAACAATAGCAAAATGTACCAATAACCACAAATAAAAAAATGAATTTTCGAACTCGAGCATGAAATAGCCATAAAACAATAGAAATATGTAAATTATGACCTGGAAAATGAATAAAATTGATTTTTGATCAAATGCATTAGATGTTTAATAACTACCCTGCGACCCGAGCTGCCCATGCGGAGAAGGGTCGCAAGATTTTGAACACATCCTCTGGCATTGTTCTCAATACGACCAACAGCGAGACAAATTATTTAGCAAGTTAAGTGCAAAAAAATATACTCCCCCATACACCACTGATAAATTCACAGCAGCTAATGATTTTGTATATATTGAATTGCTTTGTAATTATTTGAAGGAATGTAATATAAAAGTATAACTTCAACAGTAACCACGTACAGAAACTAAATGTAAACAGGATATCAATTATGCAAAATTTGAGCAATTTCTGAAACTACAATAGTTCAACAACAGTGTAAATAATTTAATTAAAATTTGTGTACTTTAAATAATAAAATTAAAAAAAAAAACTACCCTGCGAATAATGAACCCATTCTAAAAAAAATGACCATTTCAAAAGTTTCATAGGGCAGCATATATAATATAATTGATGCAGGGCCGACAGAAGGTGTGGGGTAACGGTGGTGAAAACGCCATACGGGATTTTGGGGTGTTGGATTTACCTCTCCTCCATTTTCGTTCTTTAGGCCAGTCAAATTACGGTTTGGAAATCAAGGATGATAGAAGAAGGACAAAAACCATGGGATATCATGCGGAAGAATGATGTGAAATACATATTAAGTTTTTGGGATTGTAGCAAACCCGGAAATTGTTTTAAAAAAATCAAAACTGCAAAATTAAGCGTCCACGCGACCTTTTTCGCTTTACGCCGACGAAACCGTGATAGATGGGATGAAAATGTAGGACTTAATTTGTCGAGCATAAAATTTTCTACAAAAAAGTCATTGGCATTTTCGTAATTTCAACCGTCAAGTCGCCAAGCGTGCTCGATGTTGAACTACGAAAAAGCTGATTCGCCGTCAACGCCGAAAAGTCCACTTTAGTTGCAAAATGCAAATAATTTATGAAAAAGTTGATTAAAAACTCTGAACAAAATTAGGATGCATCAGAATGTCTCCAGGAGAGGAAATTTTTTTAAAAACATTTTTGATTTTTCAGGAGTCGCCATTTTTCTCTTTTTTTTTCATTTTTCAACCAAAATTTGCCATAACATAACTTTTGATCCAGTTATCTTATTGGCATAAGAACAAAAGGTGATTTTTTCTCGTTCTTTCCTCTCCATTTTCACTTTTTTGACCTTTTCACTCAACATTCATTTTAACTTATTATTTGTTGATAAACTAAAAAAATTGGTGTTTTTTCAATATATAATCTGACTGGAAAATGTTTTGATCAAGCTCGGTAGCTTTATCCCAAACTTGAGTCATTGGGATCAATCTCGAATTTTTTCATATTTTTCTTGGCATTTGTTAACGTAGATTTTTAGTAGTAGAAGGAAAATTTTTCGATTTTTATCAATTTTTCAATGTCTAAAAATTCTTTGATGTTTTAAAAATTCTTTTGAGATCTTGGAATTTTTTTATATTGTCAATACTTAGTGAGTTATGAATTATTTTAGATTTAGGGAAATATTGTCGTTGTGCGCGCCGCACTCCACACGCTTGATCACCCCATTCTCCACATTCTCCGCGTAGCGGAACTTCGGCAAACGTTTCCTTTGCTAATTTCCTCCAAAAATATGAAAAAACTACAAAAAAAAAATTTGTTAACAATTAATAGTGCACAAACTTAATGGGAGCTTCTGTTTTGCACCTCTGTACTTATAGTGCTAATTTGATGTGAAATTATATTGATGAAAATTGAAGGGTTATTTAGGATTGAAATAACGATTAAACACAGTTTTATTATCGTAAAAGTAATTAAGCTTTATTCAGCAACGTAATGCGACAACGGTCGAGGCACAAGTGGTGCATAGTACGAGTATATCCAAAGAGGATAGACCTAAGTAGNAAAAAAAAAAGTCTATCCGATGCCATTTCCAAAGAGGATAGACCTGAGTAGAGGCCCTGATCGGGGGGTTTGACTGACTCCAAAAATGTTAGTTGGTACCCCACGGGAAAGGCGGCGTCCCAGTCGAATTGTCGGTAAATGTGAGTCGGGTGCGTGAGTAACTCGGCCGTAGCAGTCCCGCTGTCACAAGGACAGGTTCCGAGGGTCACTTTTGTCTTCCATGTACGCAATGTTTACTCTATGTTTTTCAGGTGATTTATTCGCCGACTAGTTAATATTAAGGGATGAAACAAAAACGGTTCAATGGAGAATAAAATTTCCCATCCATCAACCCCCGTTTCATCTCTTAATCTCTCTAATGAAAAAATTATAACTGCGACGAAAGTCGCGGCGCTATGAAAAACCTAATGGTTTCTCGGCGCAGTGACTCCCGACAACTCACCCTCTAATTAAAAAATCGTATCTCTGCTCCTAATTAACATTAAGGAATGAAACCAATGCTGTTCGATGGAGAATTAAATTCCCCACCCAACAATTCCTGTTTCATCCCTTAATCTGTGTAGTAAGAACATTAATATTGCGACGAAAGTCGCGGCGCAATGAAAAACTCAATGGTTTTCTCGGCGCAGTGACTCCCGACAACTCACCCTCTAATTAAAAAATCGTATCTCTGCTCCTAATTAACATTAAGGAATGAAACCAATGCTGTTCGATGGAGAATTAAATTCCCCATCGTTCAACCCCCGCTTCATTCCTTAATGATAATTAGGAGCAGAGATACGAT